ATTTTATATGCCGCCCACGGAGTTAGGATGCATTTCAAAGTGGCCCGCAAGATCATTTGAGTTGACCACCCTGGTTTAAAACTATACTTGCATATGTGAACAATTGTAGAATTCTTTCTTCTCTCTTTCGCGTTTAAAAAAAAAAAAATCGAAAATTTTGTTCTGATGGACTTAATTTAAAGGCTTTCTGTCAATAAATTTATGTTGCCGCGTTATTTATTGTATATTGAATAACTATATCCTAAATGTATTCAAATTTTGAAATTTTTGTTGATTTTTATCCTTAACTTGTTATGGTAAACTATGTGGCAGTGAATAGATGGATCAATTAGGTTGGCAGTGATCAATTATCCTAAGGAATGTATATCAAAGTAATTTGGAAGGCAAAACGGAAGATGGGTTTAGTATTTTTTTTTTTTTAATCTTTCAGCATTTTCCAGACTATGCTAAAAACCCGTTACAGACTGATCTTAAGAAAAAAATCGAACTTTTTGTTCTTAAGGGCATAACGGCTTTCATACAATAAATTTATGTTGCCTTTTTAATTATGCTTTCATACAATAAATTTATGTTGCCGTGTTTTTAATTGTACATTGAATAACTATAACCTAAATGGGTTCAGAATTTTAAATTTTCGTTGTTTTTCGAAAATTTTGTTCTTAACATAATTTCCCCACGACTCCCTTTACACTAAATCATGTTATCATGGTAAAAATTTGAAATTTTTGTTGATTTTGTTTAATCTATGTGGCAGTGAATAGGTTGTTCGCAAAAAGTAATCAATTATCCTAAGGAATGTATATCAAAGTAATTTGGAAGGCAAAACGGAAGATGGGTTTAGTATTTTTTTTTTTAATCTTTTAAGCATTTTCCAGAATATGCTTAAAACCCGTTACAGACTCATCTTCAGTATTTAGAATCTTCTATCAGCGCATCTTCAACTGGTTCTCATAAACATGGTGAACTATGGCTGCCCTCGCAGGCTCATCCCAGGTCAAGGCGAACCTGGAATCTGAAGAACCTTTTTCCAATTCGCATTCCTCTTTGCCCTTTCTTTTTTTTCTATCTTTCCCGATGCACTCGAACACATTACATCGTAACCCGGTAATAATAACATTAAAGCCAGCCAGCCCAACAAACGGGTTGGCTGAATTCCAGGAGGTTTTCACGCCGTTTCTTTTGCTTTAGCATGGTGTAAACAACGGCGCGTTGTTGTTGGCCCGCCTCGGGCGTCGTTGTCCGGGGCAGGACGCTGTTCGAGGAACACAATCTCGGATATGTGTATTTATGTAGCACAATCTTCGGTCTGTCTATAATTAGGGTCATCTTCAGTCCTCCTCTGCGGCTTTTGTTGCCAGAAACCAGTCTCCTCCGGGCGGCTCGTGCCTCGTGAAAGGTCATTTAAAAAAGCAACATAGAAAAAGCAAATCGGAGGTGAAATATCGGAGATTTTCGAATATTCCAAAATGCAAATGGTTGTTTTTAATGAATCTGTTGCAGAAAGATGAATTGGGTCTCGATCAGTGCATTGTTCTCATCGCTGTGTGCGGTAAAATGACATGTTTTTATAAATCCTATAATAATTTTCTTTTTGATCATTTTTTTTTTAACTTAAACGGTCAGTACAGCACTATAGTTTACAGGAGCTCCTGTACAATAGCATATCATCATCAAGGGCCCAACAGGCCCACAGTGGGCCAAGGCCGTCTGCCTGCTGGCAGATTTCTAGATAGTTTTTTTCAATGCAGCTTGCAAACATACATGGACGTCCTGGATGCCTTAAGGCAAGCGCTGCACAGACGTTACTCCCGTTTGCATTACCCAGGGGGAGCGTGTAACTTGAAGATAAGCCCCGGACGCAGAGTAACAATGCCCCGCAACACTCTACGATCATATTAGAATGGGACCTATGGTTTAAAGTGGATTCCGAACCACTATACACATCCATGGCACCGCCGAGACTCGAACCCGAAACCTGTGGTACCGAGCGCCAATGAGCCACTCGGCCATTCAGGCCCGATTTCTAGATAGTAGATGTTACCTTTTTACTGGGTAGGGTTGCCAGCCTTAAGCCCAACGCTCCGCAGCCATTTAAGACCGGTACCTACGGTATAAAGTGGACTAAGAATCATTATAAACACCCATGCCACCGCCGGGATCCATGGCACCCGAAATCTGTAGTAGTGAGCGCCAGAGTGTTAGCCACTAGCCATCAGGCCCCATGACGTAACACTAGAGTCTGTAAGGTCTAGTTTCAATTCTGATCTAATCCTCAGGCGGCCCCTTCTGATGAACAATTTCCTGTGGAGCCAATCTAGAAACCCCATAGAAGTACAATAAGATTTAAAATTGTTCATGTGTGGAATAATTTATTCACTACAAACGTTCCCTTTCTAACAGTACTGCCACTCTAACCAATTGCTACGTTGTCATCCTTAAAAATTAATTAGATTTTGTACTTCTTTCCGTAAAGAAAGTGTATCGGGAAATGTGGCATCTATATAATAACTGTCCTCGGTGGGTGTTGGGGGGTCTGAATGGTAAGCTATCTATCTCTCTGGCCGTCTGTGCCACATGTTTCGGGTTCGAGTTAAAGCGGTGCATGGATATTTGTTCCGAATTCACTTTAAGCCGTAGGTCCCTATCTAATATGATCGTAGAGGTTTAGCCAGTCTTCAGCCCTCGTGGATCCACGCTAAAAGTGAGGCTGCATATTACCCTTAGTCATGACCCCTTCGCCTTCCACGGTATGTTCTGGACCTGGTGTAGGCTTTCCTGGACCAGGGGATTAGTAACAAAAACAACTGTCCTCTGTTATTTTACTGCTACCCAAAAGCTGCGACTATTATCTACCAGCAATAATTTGTCCTTCCAGACAAGGGGTCTCCAAACTTTCCAGCCTTAGGGACATACTGATTACTCCAGTAAGTACCAAGGGCCAAAACCGTTTTAATTTTCTGCCATTATCTTTAATTTCTAGACTATTCCGTTTCTGCAGGATTTTCAGGATTTTCAAAAAAATCATATGTTCGATTCAGGATATATGCATTCCAAACATCGATATACATTCATTTGCGATACTCTTTACCCCAACATAACTACCGCGGGATGTTCACTAGTTTATATAATGTTAGTGGGATTCATTTCAATTATTTGTTAGTTGTTATGCTTCAGTTAAATTTTCTGCGTATTATGCTTGTCATTAAGCTTTTACCCAGCAAGTCAATAAAACCGAGTTATTATCATTCTGTGTTTTTTTATCCAACTTATTATTAGTTATTATTAAGCTATTAGTTGTCGCGGGCCGGATGGATGACGGCCGGATTTGGCCCGCGGGCCGTAGTTTGGAGACCCCTGTTCCAGACAATTCACCAATGCCAGTCTCATCTCTAACAAATGAACTGGCTTACAAAAGTAATTATTTTAGCAAATCTGTCCTGATTTTTAGAAGAGTATTCTAGTATATCGCCATTCAAGTATCTCCCTCTAACTTTATACCACTTGAATGTTATCTATGAATAAGATGCATACAGAGAGAAGCAGATGAGAAGCTTTCTTGCTATAGTAAATCTCAATATCATGGATCCTGTAGTCCTTTACATGGGCGTTGGAATTTCACCCACCATCTGCCATTCCTGGCCTGCAAGATTCTATTCGGGACTTACTGATGCGGTTAGGTTTGTTGCTCTACGGCCATTTTGTGCACACTTTAGGCTGATTAGACCGGGACCTACACTTTAAAAGTGGATTCCGTACGAACATCCATGCCACCACCAGGATTCGCTTCCGATGCGGAGTTTCTCGTGGACGACCTTCGCTAAACTATCTGACGGCTTTTCCTGCAGTTTGAAAGATATTCTATGGCCAAAATGATATTTTTTTTTTTTTGTAATGTTTTTTTTTATTTTTTTGTTCGAAGGAAACACAAGTAATATAAAAAAAATTGGGTAAGTTCAATTCCTACTTTTTTTCACTCTAAATGCCCTCAGCAGAAAGTCCTTTATAAATAATTTTCATACATTTTTAAGTTTATCGCACTGGCCCTCTGAAAAGGGTTGATACATGCAACTGCTAAATCTAATAAAAAACTAAAATTAATTAATTAAATTTAATGAATTAATTAATATTTTATTCACATCCAGTGTTTCATTTTTACAAGTTAAAAAGTATTTGAACTGGAATTTTCATGAATAAAAAGTTTATTTTATGGACAATTGAAAACTTGAATCTAGATGTATAAAGGGAGAATTGAGCTAATGAAGGAATTGAAAAAAACTGTATTAACATCCAGTGTCATCCACTACAATTTAAAAAAATGTATTTGAACTGGAGTGGATGAATAAAAAGTATTTTATGAACGATTGAAAATTTGAACAAGATATATAGAGGGAGAGTGTGAGCTAATAGAAGGAATTGAACAAAAGGATCAGACATAAATCAAAATAACATTTCTTTTCTGTATTTATCTTTAGTAACATAGTTCAATGAATGTATGAAACTCGAGAAGAAGAATTTTTTCGGAATGTTCAGAATCTTTTCGTATCTTTTTTGAGTTTCCTGAATAAATTCTGGGAATGAAAAGAAGCCAAGGGATACAGCGCCATCTCTAGTAGTAAAAGGTTGGGAGATGTTCCAACTTTCGATTCCTTTAGAATTGGGGGACGTGCTCTATTTTATGACTACTTTGAGGTTGATAGTAGCGTTTCTTCATCTAACACTTTTTTTCTAATGCATCTGGCAATACAGAGACAGTAATCTTTTATGTCATCAGTAAGGGCTGCACCGCTATTACGCTATTACTCATTTAGCACTACTCAGGGCGCACTTGTAGCTTGAAGATATGCTACGTAGACGAGTCATAAACATCCGATGGCACCGCCGGTTTAAAGTTTCGAACCACTAACACATTCATGGTGCAGCCACCAGGTTACGCCCTATCACAGGATTCGAACTCGGCCATTCAGGTCCCGAAATTTGTGAATCAAGCCCATTAAACCAAATTCCCATCGAGTTTTCACCCATCCAAGTACTGACCGCACCCAATGATGCTTGACTTCGGTGATCTAACGAGAACCGGTATATTCAGCATGGTATGGCCGTTGGCACCCTGTCTTAGTAAGTCATAATTTAAATATAATATTAATTCGATAAATACTTCTTTTATTTTACAGTGAAGCATTTTTGAAGACAAAGCACAAATATTAAATCGGAAGATTAATGTAAATATAAATTGCTTATCATTGATTAGATTAAGGGAAAAAATTGATTGATTGATTAATTGAAATTGATTGATTAATGTAAATAAAGCTCTGGTCCACAAATATTTATTTCCCAGTTTAATATTTTTATTAATATGGTTTAAAGAATAAATTCAGTCTTCGTATGTTATAAAAACATTATATAACACTTCGTTTATAAAATTCCTTCTAACATTGCCATGATTTATTGAGAAGAGGATCTAAATGTACCAAACTTGAAATAAAAGTCATTTATCTTGCGGCCTCTCAAATCGCGGATTCCTTTTCATTAAAATTCATTTCTTTCGATTTTTGAAACTTTTGCATTTCTTTTTTTCCAGTCCTCCCCGGTTGCGAAGCAGACGCCTCGCCGGGTCAGGTCACGCCGGGGTTGAGACCATCATTACTTGCACACATGTCACACTTCTTCGTCTGCCGTCAGTTGGGCATTGATGCGTTTGCGTTGCATTTCGTCGTCGATTTTTAGGAAAACTGGATTTCATTGGATTTATTTTTTAAGGGCAGGTCGCACAAACCTTTTCTTGCCAATTTCAATACTGTTATTATTTATTTTTTTTTTTTTTTTAATTTTCTTGTTACATCAGAAGTTTTTTTTTTTTCTTTCTTTCTTTATTATTCAAAAAAAACAATTTTTTTTTTTTTCCAATGCAGCTGGCAAACATTAGACACTTGTCTTTGATGCCTTAAGGCAAGCGCTGCACAGACGTTACTCACTTTGCACTACTCAGGGGGCGCGTGTGTCTTGAAGATAAGCCACGGACGCGGAGTAACAACGTCCCCACGACGCTCTACAATCATGTTAGACCGGGACCTACGGTTTAAGGGAGTCCGAACCACTACGACATCCATGGCACCACCGGGACTCGAACCCGAATCCTGTGGTACCGAACTCCAGAGCGCTAGCCACTCGGCCATTCAGGCCCCATTCATAAAATTAAAATAATCAAAATATTAGATTACCGGAGTGCAGAACAAAGTTTAGGAAGAAAAGTGTAAAAATAATTTACAAAAAAAAAAAAAAAGAAGTATCAAAATCGAATTTAGGCATTTATATCACTAGAATTTAGACAAGTTAAAATCAAACATTATTCATTGGACATTATCCGTCAGTTAGCAGAACATATAAGCCTTTTTCCATTGAATTCCATGTTTGGTTTGGTTTGTCGCTCTACGGTCATTTTGAGCACCTTCTGGGCTCGCTAGACCGGGACCCACAGTTTAATGTCATTGAATTCCACTTCACATGTAGTTAATAAATTTGAATTAAACTGTACGTTTCTCAAATTAAAAATGCTTCTTATTAGAAGGGGAAAAACTTGCATTACGTGTAATTTATTTTTTCCTATCATTTTCGAATACAGAATTCTTGTTGAAAACCATACGCAAAAAAAAAAAAAACTATATTAGTAGCGGTGGGCCGGAATAGTCGAGTGGCTAGCGCTCTGGTGCTCGGTAGTACAGGTTTCGGGTTCGAGTCCCGGTGGTGCCATGGATGTTTGTAGTGGTTCGGAATCCCCTTTAAACCGTAGGTCCCGGTCTAATAGGATCGTAGAGCATTGCGGGGGCATTGTGACTCCTCGTCCGTGGCTTATCTTCAAGTTACACGCGCCCCCTGGGTAATGCAAAGTGAGTAACGTCTGTGCAGGCTTGCCTTAATGCATCCGAGACCAAACTGTCTAAGTGTTTAACAGCTGCATTAGAAAGAAAGAAAAAATATTAATAGCTCTAATATTTAGAAAAGTTATCGAGATTATTTGTATAAATGTGATTGACAGCTCAACCGTTTTTTTTTAAAAAAAATCAGCTAAATTTTAATCATGGAGTCTGAAGTCAGCATAACAATTTGTTTCATTTTACTTCTCTCTCTAATTGAACTTCATGACTTGCATCTAATAATGCATGTGGTTATAACTCAATCTACTTCCATATCATTTAAAAACTGTGGGAGGCTCCTGACTGAAAATTTAAATGAGTGTAAAAAATGACTGTCTCCAACTGTGATTGCAATAAAGCTGTCACAATCAGGCCTACACCCAAATTCTTAAAAACCAGAAGGGACTACCCATTTCGAACTGCAGCTTATTTCTGTCAATCAATTCTATTAATAAATTCTGTTCATAAAATCCATTAACTATACATTTAAGCATTAATTTACTTCTATTATTTATTAGTCACGTGTGTTTCAATGCAGCTGGCAATACGGAGACAGTTATCTTTATGCCATAAGAAAGACCTGCACCTCTGTTACTTATTTAGCACTACCCAGGGGGCACGAGCAGCTTGAAGACAGGCGAGTCACACTAAACCCACAAAGCTCTACGATACTATGAGACCGGGACCTACGGTTTAAATGGATTTCGAACCACTACAAACATACATGGCACTGCCGAAATTCCTACCCGAAACCTGTGGCGCCAAACTCAGAGCTCCAGTCACTCAGCCATAAGGCCCCCATATAAATAGCACTACTATATAGTATTAATCTAAAATATTTAAAATTAAATTTAACTTCATATTACGATTCTGTTGCTTTGTCAATGTTAAATTTATTATTATTGTTATTATTACTAACTAGATAAAAATGATCCGTTTGTTTAAATTTATTGAATAACTAGATTCCTATCGAATTTTGAATAATCAACATTTAATTAATCCTCATACATGGTTATTGTTCTAATGCAGCTGGCAATACAGAGGCAGTTCATCTTTATGCCATAAGCAATGGCTGCACCGCTGTCACTACCCAGGGGGGCACGTGTAGCTTGAAGATAGGCTACGGACGCGAGTCACACCGCCCCTACAACGCTCTACGATCCTGTTAGACCGGGACCTACTGATTAAGGGGGATGGCGAACCGCTACAAACACCCATGGCATCGCCGGGATTCGAACCCGAAACCTGTAGTAACAAGCTCCTGAGAGCTAGCCACACGACCATAAGGCCCCCGTGTATTTCAAAGTTACAGAATTTTTTTAAAAAACAGTTGATTCAGTTAACAATTTGCAAGATAAATGATTCAAACCTTAAAAAAAAACAATGCAACAATTTCGATTGAATATACTTTCAGGTTTGGTTTGGTTTGTCGCTCTACTATCGTTTTGTGCACTTTTTGGGCTAATTAGACGGGAGCTATAGTTTAACGTGGATTCCTAACCACTAGCAAGCACCCATGCCACCGCGAGGATTCAAACATGAAGCCTGTGGAAGTAGCGAGGACTAGCGCTTGGTGCCACAGGTTTCGAATTCGAGTGGATGCTTATGAATGTACCATGGATGTTTGTAGTGGTTTGGAATCCACTTTAAGCCGTAGGTCCCGGTCTAATATGGCTGTAGAGCGTTGGGCATGTTGACAACCCTACCCCGTAAAAAAGAAAAATATATCCGGTATTGAAATCGGCCTTGGCCCACCATGGGGCTGTTGCCACACTGATGTGATGATATATGAATTGCAGTCTGATTTAATGAAGACAGTTAATCATATATATTTTATGATGTCTTAACATCTATTTGGGAGGATACTATCTTACGGAAGGGCTCCGATCACAATTGCCATCGAATCTACTATTTTTTGTAAGAAAATATTGCAATGTAGGCCGCTCACAAAAAATTGAACTTAAAAGCACTTTAGAAACTCTACGGATTTTTAAAAATCTCTTAAAATAATTTCAAACATCACATATTCCTTCTGTGGGGCTGATGGTCGAGTGCTTAGCGCTCTGACACTAGATACAACAGGTTTTTGCGTTCGAGGCCCGGCGGAGCCTGGATGTTTTTCCACTTTAAACCATAGGGTAGTTAGACCATCGAGAGTTTCTCTGTATTACCAGCTGCATTAGAAAAAAATTCCTTCTGTAGCTGATTATTATGATGATTTCATACACAGTTTAAGCAATAAAAAAATCCATTTTCATTACAGAAACAACTGTAAGTTAGAAAAGTAACCCTTCATTTGCCAATGAATAATAGAGTTGAATCTTTTGACCATTCTTGGCGAAACTGTCAAAACTGTTGAAATAAATAGAAAAAATTTACTGTTAACGCCCAAAGAAAAAATAAGAAAATAAACTGACACGAATAAATGTCTGCATATATTTCATCTTCAAGCTGTCTGTAATATTAATTTAGAACTCAAAACAAACACCATTTTTGTTAATTCTTCAAATTAAATTATGTTTTTCATTCGTTTTAATAGAGAATAAATTAATAGACAAAATGTTTGAAAAATAAGCAGCTTTGTTTATCCCCCTCTAAAATATAATTTTATATAAATAGTTTTAAAATCTTAGTCTTCTTAAATAAAGTCATCTTAACAAATGATTTGAGCCTCTTTGGCAATATGACGCAACAAAACTTTCCTATAATTCATAGGTTGGATGAAGTATTGCTTAGATAAATAATTAATATTTAAATGAATTATTATTACTTACATACATGTCTAAAATTTACATTATTTATTACTTATAGTATATACATGACTAACGTTTAGATTAACTATTATTATTAAATGAACATAGCCAATATTTAGATTTACTATTACTTATATACATAACAAACATTTATATTAATTATTATTATTTGTATACATAGCCAACGTTTAGATTAATTATTATTACTTAAATTGACGATTAAAATTTAGGTTAACTATTATTACTTACAAATAAAGCGAAAATTTAGATTTATTATTACTTATATACGTAACTAATATTTAGATTATTTATTACTTATACATATGTCTAACGTTTAGATTAACTGTTGTTACCTATATAATATATTGACATTTAGATTAATTATTGTTACTTATATACATAGCTAACATTTAGATCTATTATTACTTATATGCACAACTAAAATTTAGATTAACTATTATTACTTACATACATAACCTACATTTAGATCGATGTTTGTTGTTTCTTATCCCACTTGGCTGACCAAGCCCACGAGCCCATACGTACTCATGATTGAAGGGAAGGAAGCAGTTTCTGTTGTGATGGAGCACCCGTAGGTAGAAGTCTGACTTTGGCTCCGTGACGCTCTTACAGTCATGGGAGACCGGGACCTACTGCTTAAAATGGTTCGAACCACTACAAACATCCATGGCACCGCCGGGATTCGAACCCGAAACCTGGGGCACCGAGCGCCAGACACTCGACCATTCAGGTCCCAAATTTGTGAATGCCACGGCACGTGGTGTTCCCAGGTGACACCCACCAAGTACTGAACCGCGCCCAATGATGCTGGACTTGGGTGATCTGAGAACCGGTATATTCAGCATGGTATGGCCGTTGGTCTATTATTACCTATATTGTTAGATCTATTATTACATATACATAAAATTTAGCTTAATTATTATTACTTATACAAATAATTAACATTTAGATATTATTATTACTTACAGGGCGTTATCAAAAATAATGGAAACACCACCTATTTATAAAAGAATCCTTTATTAGTATGGTGTAGGACCGCCTTTGGCACATAATACAGCTTAGATTCGCCTAGGAATCGATTCATACAAGTGCTGAATAGTGTTTACAGTATTGTACCATTCTTCATGGAGATATTGTGAAGGTTCTGGGAGAGATTTCAGTGGAGGATATCGATTCCATATTGAATGCTCTAAAATAGACCATAACGCTTCAAAGATATTGAGGTCGGGTGACTGTTCGGGCCAAGATAGATGTTTCACTTCATCCTCGTTTTCATCAAACCATGATTGGACCCGCTGCATGGACTGTGTTATCATCCTGGAAAATTCTATCTCCTGCAGGAAACAAAGTTTGCATCATAAGATGGACCTGCTAAAAAATCTATACTGTCCAGTGATTCTTCCTTTCAGGGTTACGATTGGTAGAGCAGAAAACCACTACACGGCTGCCCATATCATGAACTATACTTGGCAGTTGGAAGGAGACAATCACGATCATACGCTTGTGCATGTGTCCTCCAAACATACACCCGTCCTGTTGTAAAATAAAAACGATTCGTCAGACCATATTACTTTCTTTCTCTTATCAATCGACCAGGTTTTGTGAGTGTGACACCACTGTAGGGCGACGTATGACATTAACATCTGTTACATGTGGCTTGGGAATTGCTGCTCTGGTGTAAATGTCCTGTTTATGAAGGTGATTTCTAACTATAATGATTGACACTGGAGAATCCAGATGCTGATTGAACTCTTCGGTCAGCTGCAGTTGTTCGCTTTTGAGACATCCCAATCCGCTTCAATACCCGTACATACTGAGCTTCCCTTTCCGTCCACTCTTTTGCTTTGCCGAGCTTGTCTTGCCACGTTGTGTGTATGCTGTCATGACTTTAGACACCGTACCTCTAGAAACGCCTAAAAGTTGGTTACACTTGCTCCAGCTAGACGGGCGCCTACAATTTGGCCTCTTTGAACATCTAAAAGGTCCGACATTTGACGCGTTTGAAATAAATCCAAGACTTACAGAACTTCAATACAGCTACCACATACTACCAGAATATATACATTTTACATTAAAAAAAAAAAACTGGTAGCTATTATTATATTTTAATGCTTACGAAGCCATTCAAAAATGTCACTTTTATTCACAGATATTTCTATTATTTTGATAACCCCCTGTATATATATGGCTAACGTTTAAAGGAGTTATTATTACCTATATAAATAGCTAACATTTAGATTAACTATTGTTACTTATACACAGGATTAACTAACGAAGAAGCTAACTATACATAAATGCATGCATAAAAGTAATAAATGAAGAAACCACCCTTTTTAAAATATATGAATAAAAACTCAATAAAAATCTGATCTTAAATTTAAAAGATCTCCCTTGAGGAAAATGCAATCGGCGAGTGTACTGATGGCTTACATGAATTTCTTTAGGAATTTGTACTGATGTCGTCAACCATCTAAATTCTATTCCTCTATAATATCTTTTTTTTTTGGACAAAATCATCAAAATTTAATTTACATGAATAACTGTAAGTGGCATACTGCATGTATTAACGGAGATGGTTCAATTCTTAATTTTAATGAAGAGAATCTTTCTTGTCAAAAACTTTGAAAGGAAAAAAAAAATTTGAAATCGACGTCCAAAAGCTATGAACTATAAGATATGAAATTTACTATCTACGCTGCATTTCAGTTTCTCAGTTGATTTATTGGATATTCAATTTAATTATTCTACAGGTATACAATTTCAATTAATATGCAAAAATATCACTCTAAACAAATATGATTCATGAACGGTAATGATAGATTTATTTTCTCATAGATTCGCTAAGAAAAATTAGGACAAATACTTCTATAAAACTATTTTTTACAACTATATTTACAATGTTTTCTGACAATTGCTTATAAAAAAACTGGATTTTTTTTTCAATTATGCTCACAACTATTTATATAAACTACTTTCTTACAATTATTTATTTATATAAAACAGTTTTTACAATGTTTGCTGACAATCACTTATATAAAACTGTTTTCTACAACTATTTTTACTAACAATTTTTTGTATAAAATTGCTTTCTACAATTATTTTTACAATTTTTATTGACAATGTTTTATATCAACTTGTTTTTACAATGTTTAATGGCAATTGTGTATATGAAACTGTTATTACAATATTTGCTGACAACTGTTTTCTACTGTTATATGTACAATCTTTTCTTACATTTAAAATAAACTGTACAATTTTATAATTTTTTTACAATATTTGCTGACAATTACTGAAATAGCACTGTTTTTTACAAAAGTTTGCTGATAGTTATTTATATAAAACTGTTTTGTTACAAATGTTTTTACATTATTGACTGACAATATTTGTATAAAACTGCTGTTTCTTTAAAGCACAGTATTGCTCCAAAAATGTTATTTATGCTTAATGCTGATATCATGGAATTTCAAACCAATCTTGTTAACATTGCTGATCTGAACAAAACAAGAACAGAGAAACTTTTAATATTTTTGTGACTAATATGGAATATTCATATTCTAATATGAATATTCCATATTAGTATATTCCTATATAAAGAGCCTGAATGGCCGAGTGGCTAGCGCCCTGGAGCTCGGTACCACAGGTTTCGGGTTCGAATCCCGGCGGTGCCATGGATGTTTGTAGTGGTTCGGAATCCATTTTAAACATATTTGTAGATTTGTCCCGGTCCTAACAGGATCGTAGAGCGTTGCGGGGGCATTGTGACTCCGCGTCCGTGGCTTATCTTCAAGTTATACGCGCCCCCTGGGTAATGCAAGGTGAGTAATGTCTGTGCAGCGCTTGCCTTAAGGCATCCAAGACCAAGCTGTCTAAGTGTTTGCCAGCTGCATTAGAATAAAAAAAAAAATATTCCTATATAATATATTATCATTCCATATTAGAATATTTCCATATTTAACTGTAAACTCATCAATAAAAGGAAATAGCAAGAAACATTCATATTTTAAACCAGGGGTGACCACCCGCGGGTCACATGCGCGCCTCCGTGACCTTTATCACACTTTTACAAAATGTAGTATTTATTTTATAATGGCTACAGTAGTGAAAAACAATGCATTAAAAAAATACACTATGTGTGCATCCATCTATTCAAAAATGAACTGTCGAAAGGACGAGAAAAAAAATGAACTTTGATTCTAAAATAATAGTCTTGCGAATAGAGGACAGATAGTGCCTGTTTTATTGATTATTTTATAGTTGTGAGTTCGCAGAATAATTAAATTATGTTCTGCGAACTCATGATGAGTGGAGAAACAAACATCACACTAGTAAAATAAATATTTTTAATGATTTTAATTTTTTTTAATTCCGTTTATATTTTTTATATATTTTTTATGTTTCACTTTTAGTGTAATATTTCTTTACAATCTGCGTTTAGTATCATTATTGTCATATCATCTATGTTCCTTACAATTTTACAAAATATATTTATTCCATAACAGCCAGTGAAAAACTAATCTTATAAAAAATTACACTTATGTGTGCATCCATCTATTCAAAAATGAACTGTCAAAATTGACGAGAAAAAAATGAACTTTGATTTTAAAATAATAGTCTTGCGAATACAGAACAGATATTACCTGTTTTATTTATGAGTTCGTAGAATAATTAAAATATATCTGCGAATTCATGATACTCGCGCATTTTGGAACATCTAACATATTCTATGTTTCACTTTAAGTGACCTCAGTGACACAGTGACCATCCTTAGATACGCACAGCGGATTGTTGATATCAGAGCAAACCAGACTCTTATTTCAAGTTGTTAGCGCTTTTTGTTCAACTGGCACCTGCGAATCGTTTTTTTTTTCGAAAATGAAATGGACCCAACACTAAACATTCTCAAATATAACTGATGCAACACTCACGACGATGTGCAAATACCCAAATGGAGATCAATTTGTGAAACCTAATTAATAGAGGGGACAAACACATATCGCACTAGTCAAATAAATATTTCTTAATGATTCAATTTTTCTTATTTCGTTTATATTTATGTGTTTTTTATATTTCAACATAACATATATATTAACACTAAAAATAGTGTTATACAGTTATTTACAATGTGCGTCAGTATCATTAGTATTATATCATCTATGATTGCATGTCAGAATAATAAAACACAATAATAATAACTCATTCTGTTTCAATCTTTCACTTCAAAAAATGTCTACAGTGGGTCTGAATCTAATAGAAGGGATACATAATTTTATAATCGGCCAGCGGAGTTAGGATGCATTTCCAAAGGGGCCCTCATCATCATTTGGGTTGGCCACCCTTGTTTTAAACCATAGCTGAGATGGAAAAGAATTTATGTAAAAAAAATTATGCAAAAAGTGTTCAAAGCTCAAGAAGCATCACATAAAAATGTATGATTGTCTTAACAACACAGTCTTTTTTTTTTTTTGCTGACAGTTCATCTTTTGTTATACAAAATTTTTATAATTTCCTTTACATAAAAACTGTGAGAAAATCTGACTGCACACATTAATGTAGATGAATCTTTTGGCAATCCTTGATGAAGCTGTCAAGAATTTTGAGATGAGGAAAAAAAAAAAAAAGCTTTCTGCAATCCAACGCCCAATCGGAATGGCATGAAATCAACTAACTACCCGTTCCTCATCTCTGGGTGTTCAACAGATTTATTCTGTACGGAAGTTGTCCTTCGTCGCCCTCACTTCTCACACATCACCGACTTCTGTCCAAAGATCCTTCCATGCTGGGCTTCCTGCAAGTTCTTCTTCTTCACACGGCGATTGATTGACACCAAGTCAAAGATCAAGCCATCGACTTGAACTC